AACCCACCCACTATGCTAGGCCCCCTGCTGCAGAAACTAAACTCCTAGTAAGAATTTGGTTGGCTAACACCACCATTCTGGTTAAAGAGTACTTTCTGGATGTTGTCATGAAAAATTCAATAAATTAGTATGGTATACTCTTACGTCAGAACAGATTTTAGTGTAATTTGCCTTAACCAAGGGGTGACAAAGGGAAGTGAGACAAAGCCAAAACAAAGTCAAGACATCAAGGGACATTTTGAAGTAAAGCTTTCGATAGCTTCTACTCAAAACAATCGTATAATTTTTACCCTGTTGGGACAAAGAGTGAGTGACAAGCGTCCGACCTCTTACCCAAGCCCTCTTAAAATCTATTATCGACAAACTACAAAAACTATTTTATTTTAGTTCCTCCACAATTAGCCACAGTTAGCACTTAAAGCTAACATAAAGGTGTTTTTGACACATTATCCCATTGCTATGATTACCTGTTATGTCAAGTAAATCATCAAGCCGGGCTCACCATGGATTAGGTTTTCGTTTAATACCATTATTGTAGGATAACTGATAAAGAGTGCAAGTAATGCATCAAAGTATATCTACTAGAAAATGCGCAAATGAGCAAATAAAATACCCAAACTATTTAAAAAGACACCGTCAGCTAAATAAAATAGCTCTTCTACAGTTGCAGTAAACATTTCTACCTAAACATTTACGTTTTCCTTAAAACTACCGTCCGAGTAACAATCTCAGATCACTTCCGTTTGATTGCACGTATCTTGTAAGGAACAGGAAACTGTGTGCCACTAAACAATCCCTTCAAGCTTGGCGGACTACCATCTTCCTCAGCGATGAAAGTGAACTTCTGAAGCATCCACGAGAGAAACAAAAACAACTCAACTTTGGCCAGGGGCTCACCAGCACAGACACGGCGTCCCGCTCCAAAAGGGTAGAAATTGCCTTGGTTGGTGATTAACTTACCATTCTCGTCGATATGACGGTAAGGGTCAAACATGGTTGGATTTTCCCAGCATTTGGGATCCAGATGAACAGATTCCGTGTCAGCAAACACGATGGTATCTTTGGGAACGCGGTAACCACAAAGTGTAGTATCTGTAAGGGTGAAGTGAGGTATCGCAAGAGGCGCCACGTTTCCAACTCGTAGCGTTTCCATGATGGTCGCGTGAATGAGGGGCAGGTTCGCTCGGTCATCCAAACCGGGATTCCGTCCACCAAGTACTTCATCTAACTCGAGCTGAATATCCTGTTGGTACTTTGGGTAGTTGACCAAGAAGGCTATCGCCCATTTCATTGTTGTGCTTGTGGTTTCGTAGCCGCCAGAAAACATGTCTTCGATAGTATTGACCAAGTAGTCATCGGAAAGAAAAGCTGCTCGCTCCTGATTACTCTCGCACTCGGCTTCATGTTTCGCGTGCAAGAGACCCGAGATCAAATCATGCACAGGTTCTTCTGGGTCGAAAGTTTCTTTTCGCTCTCTTAAGAATCTGCGAATAATATCAAAAATCCCTAGCACTGGCTGGAGGAGGCGATCATAAGCCTTAAGCGGCAGGTACTTTGATAAAGGAAAGTAGTCTAAAACGGTTACCAGCTGAGCATCATCAGTATTTGCAACAAAGTCTACGTTTAGTTTCAAAAGCTTGTTCAAATCTGGGTTCGTTGTATCGTAGCCTTCTCCAAACGTGATTCCACAAATGACATCAGCAACGGCACGCTGCAAGATATCTGCGGGATCAAAAGGCTTTCCATTTTGCTCTTCCATGAAATGCATTAATTTCTCGGCCTGTGTAGAGACTCGCCTTTCCACAAGAGCCATATCAGAGAGATATTGGCGTAAGGCTGTTGTAAAGAGCTTCCGATGAAACTTCCAGGCGGGCCCATAGTTACCCAAAGCGATATCTTTACCTCCTGTAATTTAAGTTTAAAAGGGAGTCAAATTGAAACTGACATTTAAGGCCGCTATTACATACATACATACTTTATTGTTACCTCCCCAATGGGGCTTTTCAGGAACAATTACTTAAATTACTAAGTTACTAAGAACTACACAATTCACAATTCTTTTGTTTATATTAACTGATCAAGATTAAACTGAATCTCCAAGCTGGCAAATTCTCCGAGGAGCAATTATATCAGGCCGTAGGGAAGAAATATATAGATATATAAATATAATATATATTTGATTTATCCGTTCTTAAGTCTCGAGGCCAAGTTAGTATTGTAAAAGTCGAAATTGTTCTAATTCAACTAAATTCAGCAGTTAAAAGCTACATGGTTTTAAATGTAAAAATTTGCGTTCGGGATGGTGTTCATTGTAGTCAAAATCCAAAATCAGGGAACTCTCAAGCCCATCCTGCCACGTAGAATTTATATTATTTCCGAGTCTGGGATCAGAATAAGAATAAAATCATCACACTAAGTAAAGGAAAGACAGTTTCTAGTCACATAAAATGTACTATGGTCTTGTTGGTGTAGGAGTCCCATTTTTAAACGATGCACCAATAACGTACCAAGAGTTGCCTGCTGGAAGAAGTATGTCTGCTGTCTTCCAGCATAATCAGCAGATTTCTGTACGAGCATTTCCTTAACGGCCTCAGGAGTTGAAGCCATCACGAACTTGTAACTTCCCATTTTCAAGGAGAAAACTCGGCCGTAGTTTTCTCTGAGGCTGAAAAACAACACAAAATCTTATCATTTAGAGAGATTATGTTATAATTTTATCAAGCTCCTTGTGAAACCTTATTATTAAGATACTTTAACTCAACCACCAAAAGGACTGGGAATAATTTTACTCCCCCTCGTAAGGATAGTACTTCAAAACAGCACTGTTTCCTTGTACTAAATTCGCTACCCTCTACCACACGCTCTTTGGGTTCGTCACGCGACATACACGTTCCTCCTCCACGACGGAAGTCATTTTACACCTGGATGGGTTAAGCCGCTGTGAAAAATACCCGGTAATGGTGTCTTGCCCATAAGAGTATAGGCAATAGAAAAAGGTGGTCGATTTGTTTTTTTGTACAGTAGCATTGAAACTTTTCGAAAATCAGTGCGATGTGAGAATATTGCCAACTACTATAAAATACACTGTGAACGTGACATCCAGTATATGGCTTTGTTAATTAGAAGAGATTACGAGTAAACCTCAAACTATGAGAAAAAGTCACCTCGCTGATAAAAGACCATAATATCCTCTGTTCATACCTAATCGTACATTTTTGGTACGCTTCAGGTGAGTTTGATCGAGCCATGGTTCGTATTTTGGCAAGAGGTAGTCGGCCCAAAATACCGTTGGCGAGACCAAACGAGCCTGATATGCCGTCGAAGCGTACCAAAAAGGTACGATAAAGTATTATTAATCCATTACCGTACCCAAATTCAGCCAAGTGAGCATGATATCGTAGCCATATGAGGTCAGTGACTTGATATCACAGGATATCGGGACAGTAGACACGGCTTCTGATTAGCTAATTGCGAATTTAGGTACGGTAATGGTTTCAATCAATCAATGTAAGGTAAGGAAGCCCGGGGAAGCATGTAGATCGTTTTCACGTGACGTCATAACTTTTTAAAATCCAAAACTAAAGAGCCACGAAAGTTTTTATCCTCATCAGGCATAAGGGGTCCACGAGAGGCGGTAAATTTATTTCTGTTAACAATTTTACAGCTCAATGGCGTGCTTCGCCTGGAAACCAGAGCATTTTGAATTTCACAGTCATGGCGGCGCGCGAAACAAAGCTACGATCGAGTTTGTTGAAAAATATGTACTTGTCTCGTGATTGTGAACCTTTTTAGAAGTTAGAGCTTATGTAACTGCTTGTTTGTTCAGTACAGATAATCACTCGCCTAGATAGGCAAAGTAAGTTCCAGATATTTACACTACTTTCCGGCCGCCATATTAGTGTACCACTGAGGAACACCAACATGGCGTTTCCATACTGTACTATGCCCTGTAAATTTCTGCGAAACATTTCGACGAATATCTGAAGTTAATGGCAACGCACAGGCCTAAAACATGGAGAAGTGTCTTCTTTATTTATCTTCTATAACATAACAATTTCTTGACTTTTTCCACTGGATGGTTTTTGATTCATTGTTTTTATTGCGTGACAGTGAAAACCGTCTTTTAGGCTTCTATCACAAATGCCGTTCTCTTATTTGCTGCGCCACTATCTATAAACTAATCTGTTGTAGACAATGTGAAGCCTGGTAGTGTAGAAACGAGTAAAAAAGCATTAAAGAGTCTAATAAACAACACTGTCAAAATGGATACAGCTACTTCAAGATCATGGCTAATGCTCCGGGGCTAATGCATGCTTTGCATAAATGAATTGCTGGGCTCCGTTACATGTACATGGTCAGTCGTTACAACTTTTCATCCGATGATTGCTTTTTAACTCGCTTTGCGTCTTAAATTTTGAGGATAATTGATCAGCTCCCTATATACAACACACAAGCGGTCAGATTCATGACATTCATTGCTGCATGTCATCTTGAAGGATTTTAGACATTTGAACTTGAGTATATTGCACAATCCCGGAGCTCAATGGAAATGCTTTTCAATACAAATATTATTTGTTGTCCCAAAGAGAACCCTTGAACAAGTACACAATATTACAGGATTATGATCGATTTATAAACTCCTAATTGTATTATTCCCTTTGTACTAAAACCATTTACTGACCTTTTGAAAGCGTCGGTAAGTTTCTCCGCCTTGAAGTCGAGAGAAAATGCGTTCCCTAAGAAAGGGATAGCCGTCAAACGCGGACCCGGTGGCATGTCCCTGAACTCGTAGAGTACAATCACGTAATGCAAAAGTAGAAGCAGAAGCAACACCAGAAGAACATTTGCAAAACTGAGAGAATTATAAACCGTGGCAAACAACGACGCCATGTTTGATATCACTGAAGCGTGATGAAAATTGCTATTCAACAGGACTGTCATGCAACGTTGCAAAAACAAAGGATATTCAATCAATCAATCATTAAACGTTTGAAGTTTTCCTTCAGTAGCATTTCGGAATAGATAAATATATTGATTCAATTGACAACTTGAGCTACTGTATGTTAATTCTAAGCTTCCGCCGCTCTACGGCATCATCAGGGAATGAAAGAAAATATCCCATAGTTCGTGGTATAAAAGTGGTGTAGGTGACGCGAATGATAGAATATATTATTGACTATGATTGTAAATATGGTGATGGAAGTATACGATAATATGGACAATAGCTAATGAGTATAAGTGATAAAGCGGTAAAAAATAAAGCAGTTAAAAAACCAATCTTTACTTAAAACACGAAATCTCGTCATAAAAATGGTCTTCCTAGAAGTCGTGTAAAAAATTACAAAGAATAAATTAACCATATAACAGGAATGCATTAACTAACATTACATTACATTAACTAACGAACTAATTAACTAGCCTACAATAAAACCTATGTAATAAAACTTTCTCTAATTTATAGTGGAAAATAATCTCTCCCATTCAGTGAGGTTTTAAACAGTTTTAAACTAGGCAGGTGTCTGATTTCCGAGGGAATCTTGTTCCACAGAACAGATCCTTCTCGTTAGTGTCTACGATGTGCCTTAAAGTTACGCCTGCAAAAATCACTTCGTTTTGAAACTTTTACATACTAACGTCAAACATGTGAATGTGGAGGAGAGATAGGGTTGAAGTACACGTCAAAAAAAATTACAAGTTTCTGACTGAAACGAGAAAACCTACGACGTTGTTGATTGTTACTACCTTCGTTATTGCATTAATACTGCGAACAGACAAAAAAAAAGAAAAAAAAACAGAAACGGTCGATCGCCGCAAGCGTGTGACCTCTTTCCTAACCCTTCTGTAAACTTTAGTCTTATTTAACAAAATCAACCATTAAAAGATTCATCGTTTGAAGATAAAACACCGTGAAAGCCCTAGTGAAGGTGTTTAGAGTAGTCAAAATCAAGGAATTTTAAAGAACATCCGGTCACGCAGAGAGGACATTGTCTCTCTACATCAAGTACAGAAAAGATGGACAGGCTGTAGCCACAAGAAAATTGTACAATGGCCTTGCTGGTTACCGTATGATCGCAGACGATCGCGGATCGCAAATCGCAGATCGCAGACGATTGCAAAGAGAGTTGTTTCCATATAATTGCAGACGATCG